TATTTAAAAATAAACAAACAGAAATTTATGAATATCAAATAGTTTTTTATGATTCATGACTTTTATATATTTTTTATGAAACTTTTTAAATTTTTATATTTTGGGATGATTTGGTGAGGTCCCTTTGAAATGATTTTGGAGATGCAATTGGGTTATACATGGTTTTGAACTTTGTGTTGTTGTAACAAATGGATAAATTGTATTGGATTTACCATTTATAAATTCAGCTTTTGCCTTGTGTGTTTTTAAATTTTCACCTGTGGTTGGTATTGCTATCTGTTGAAATCTATAAATGTAACTGGTAGAATTTTGAAAATTTAAAATAAAAACAAATATGTAAACATCCGTGTTTGTGTGTGTGTGTGTGTTGTCATTGTGTGCTATCTATATACATGCTTGTATTCATATCTATATATATGTCTAATCCCTGATAAATACCTAGATGTGTTTGTGTGTTTGTATCTATATACACATGTGTGTGAGGTTTATGTGTCTAACAACTATAAATGTGTGTGTGTATACCTATATATGTGTGTGTGTGTGTGTGTGATTGTGTGTGTGTGTGTGTGATCTATATACATTTGATATCTATATATATGTGTATAACTGAAACCCTCACCCATGATGTGTGTGTGTGTTTTATCTATATACATGTGTGTGAGTTGATGACTTCTAAAAATAAATTTGTGTGTATAGTTTCAATGTGTGTGTGTGTGTGTGTGTGTGTGTGGTTTTCAAGCATATATAGGTTCTGTATTCATTTCTATATATGATATTATCAAGAATAAATCCTATAAATTGTGTGTGTGTGTTTAAATCTAGATTTCATGTTTGGATTACTACTGTTCTAACCACTTACCTACACATCCACATGCTTATAAGAATAACCTTTTGGAAAATCAACATAAATATGAGTTTATGTGTCTAATAATAAAAATGTGTGTGTATATATATATATATTAATGAACAACAGACACTTTTGGTAAATTTGTTTTTGAACTTCACTGAAAATATTAAAACAGCAAATTTATGATCATCAGCTTGTACAGTTCCAATTTTGAAATAAAAAAAAAATGATTGAAATTGTTTTGTTTTGTAATTTTATTAATTAAATAAGCCAACAAAATTGGATAGAGGTTAAAGAGACAATACAAAATATACACAGTGGTTAAATTTACATTTCTAATTAAATTTAATTGGGTGTTTTTGTGGAGGTGTGTGCATAATTAAAATTTGGAGCAGATCCATTGAATTCCTCAAATTTGGATAAATTGCATAATATTGACACGAAAATGATGCTTTGTTTAACTGAAAAGTCTAATAGATTGACTATGAATGACTGATGCTAGTAATATTGAAACAAGCTTTTGAAATCTTTTTTTGTAACATTAATTTCAACTCTTCTTATTAATAACAACATTGCACATATCTCTTGTAAAAAATAATCTGACTGTTCAAAGAAGACATTCATACTGTTCAAGTAAAAGGTTAGGAACAAACCTCTGATCACTACTAGAAAGTTTCTTTATGTTACTGAACAGATGATAGTATTTTCCTGACAAATTAGAGAAGGATTTTCAAAATTTCAAAAGTAGTGTTTTCTGCTCAGCCAATGAAAACCAAATGTTTTTTATAGTGAAACAACATACAAATTACAAACAAGAAATTCTATTCAAGCCAAGTTTTTAAAGCTGATTGTTCTTTTTAACAGACCTTTTGGAAAATCCTCAACTGAGGTTGGAACTGTTTCATGATTGATGAACTGGCCCTATTTAAAGATAGTGAATAATGGACAGTCATCCTGCAAAGAAAAACCTGAAGCAACAAAAACCTTCCCAGAAGATGAAACAACCTTAGCCATGAACTGAACATGTGAGCAGGAAAGTTTTAGGATACCAGGGATTGTCTCTAGCTCAAACAAAAGAAAATCATCCTGAGTTACTTTACATCAGGAAAGAATGTTGAAATTTTTAAAGGTAGAAGGGCTTGGAAAATTTTCCAGGACAGATTGAGGCAAAGGGGAGAAAAGCTTTTGATAGTATACTTAGAGAGTTTGAGCAAATGGATGGCAGAACTGGGTTTAGTAGAAATGACAAAAAACAAAAATTACACAGGATAGGAAATGTGCAGAGCCATGATTGCCTACATCCTGAGGAGACATGTCACATAAAGAAAAAGAATGTCTGAATAAAATATATAAATCAGTGGTATGGGAATGAGGGTATGATTCTAGCCTCTATTCAAACTACTTTTGCAATGAAAAGCTGATAAAAATGATGATAATAATAATAAACACATCCTCTAATAGAAAAGGGTTAATGAATTAAAAATAAGAAAATAAATATTATCTTTTTGCATCATCTTATCAAATTTTATCTTATATTGTCATTTTCCTAGATTAATCTAAGAAAATTATGCCGTCTGTCTTTGGATAATGGCTGTAACTGCTCATAGTACCTGGAAAAAACCTACAACTTTTACTCTTAACAGCATCACTTCTTCTTTCCTTTTTATGTCTTAATTAAGATAACATTCTTATCTTAATAAGCATATTGAGAAAATAAAAAAAAAAAACTGTACCGAATCTCAGATAATTACCACTACCAACATATAACCATCATCATTGATTTTCCCTATTTTAAAGCTATTAATTGTTTTCTCTATCTAATAATTACGGCCATGTTTGTTGAAACACACACAATCACCAAAGTTAAGCAACACTGAGCCTGGTCAGTATCTAGATGGGTGATTGCAGTACTTTTTACTGTGGTGTAATTTGAGATAATGGCTCAGAATTGGATATCAGTTTTAATTCGGTCAGGTTCATTATATTCACTTACTGCAAATACCTTTGCAAAAGGTATATACCTTTTTCTCCACAGCTATGAGCTATGGGTTAATTAGTAGAACTTGTATCATAAAAATCTTTATTATCTTCAAAAAATTCTTACAATCTAAAAAAACTTTTTGGCTTTAAATAACCTGCAAAAGGTTGATAAGTCATAAAAAACAAGTATGAGCTTGAAAGTTGTTGTAACCTAGAGAAAGTTACTGAATAGAATAATCAAACGAAGGTTGGTAATGAACGATAATACTTAGGAAAGTAACAACACATATAAGATTTGCCAGTGGCACATAGAAAAAGTAGTCAACTGCATAAAAGCAAGTCAAGTGAATTCTACAATAAATTTCCACCAGTAGACCAACATACAGTATTTACTACTGTATTTATGAATAAGACATACCTATTATCATCTGTAGAAATGCTACAACAAAATTGTTTATTGATTAAGATCATTTCTTCTTCAAAATGTGCCTTTTTCCTTCAGGTAAAGAGGGATGATCTTGGCTCACCACAGCTTCATATCTATGTTTAGGAATAGTATAAACATTGCTTTGACTTTAATTTAAAGTTTAGAGACAGTGTTCATATATAGGTCATCCAAATATGCAATTCAAAGAAGTGAAAAAATTAGATTTGACTATTTGGAACCTGGTAGAAAAATAATCACTTGACAGAAATTTTGGCTCTTTCAGTCATTTGTCAAAATTGAATGTTGATTTGAAACATTTTATATCAGTTGATAGAAATATAAGGCCAGCTCAGTATAAAAAAATGACAATTGAATAGTTTTTCTGCACCCATTTCTCATTAGCCAAACTGATAAAACATTTGGGTCCAAAATTATTTTAAAAAAATTTTTTTTTTTCATCTTTGATACAATTCCTTCTATAAACTAGATGAAAAGATTACAGAGTATGTGGATATATGCAGAAGATAAATGGTTAACCCTAGACTTGAACAGGTTAAGATTGTAGTGACTGGGGAAGCATCCACTTAGAATTTGGTTCCACAAAGCAGTAGTTCATGAAAAGAACCTGCTCAATTGGAACTTATATCTCACCAAGGGAATACAAAAGGAATTAAGGTGGCATATTGGGTCTTAGCTGTGAAGGTTAGAACTAGCAGAATGTAGTTCATCTGAACACTTTCCATGGAAATAATAGATTAGTGAGTGAGAGGCTTGCAATATTTAATCTGTGGGAAAAGGGATGTAGGGTTGAAAATAATTCATCACCCACAAGGACACACACTTTTAGACTCTATGTAGACTGAAAAGTGAACACTGGGTAACTCCTGCCCATATATGGCAGCAGTACTCCATTTTTGAATACTTACTAGAAAGCTGGCAGGAACTGACCATTTTTACAGCACCTTTAGTGATGGATTGTATGTACGAGTTCCACTTGAGGTCTGGGTTGAACTTAGGTGCAAATAAGCGCTTATGGTTTAGTGACTCCCTGAAAAAACAGCTGTTTATTATGATAGGAAAAAATTCAGAGTTCACATGGTGATGATGGAACATCAGTGGTTTGATTTTTGAGACCTTGAATATGACTTGCCAGACTCTGGTCACCTAGAGTTTTGGAGGTGCACCCATGTATTGTATCATCAGTATAATCACAGAAGTTTTGAGTACGCTCTTCAGCAAATCATTTATGCAAAGTAGAAAGGGAGTTGGACAATGAAGTAAGCTTTGAGGGACACCAGTGTTGATTGCTCGGGCCTGGGATATCAGCAGTGGACTGAGCAAAACAAAATCCATACTGCTTGTTGCTCAAGAGATTCTCCCTATTGAGCTATAATCAACAATCTACTGATGGTAACATTGGCTGCTTGGTTAATGAATGCCAAATGTTTCCTTATAAGGAAATAGCTCATATAACCATTACCAATGTGCCAACTTTGAGACATTTGTAATATGATTTAGCAACTTATTACTTTTTATTTTCATTGTGTGAATGACCACTCCTTGACAAAGTTAGAATTAAAGTAAAAATCTTTGTTTAAAAAATAAAATTTTGTGTTTTTTTTTTTTTGTTAAGGGGGAATATGTGACAGGGGAATAACCATTCTTCAGCAGAGATTTACTTTATTTTGAATGTTAATTTTCATTGTTATAAAAAAAAAATGTCTATATCATTGCTACATTCTTTAGGTAATCCCACTGATTACATCCCTTGGCTTGAATGAAGAAGAACTGGCCCTTCTTTCGTATGTTGGCAAAGGCCCACATACTGAATCCAGTCCAACACTTAAGGTAAGTGTAGTCTCTTGTTTTCTAATAAAGATAAGGTGTGCATTGTTAAGGAAATTTAGTGTTAAGATACTTTTTTTACGGAAGGGTTGTATATCCTTTTGTGTACACAAATATGATTAAACAAAATGGATAAGGGGTTTTGAACTGAATGGGTCAATATCAAACATATATGAAAACTTTTGACTAGTCATTGTCAGCTTATGTTTTTAGTGAAAATAAATTTACTCAGAAGAGCAAATAATTTGGAAAGTTAATCAGCAAAGAAACCACTGTAGGTGAAAACTTATGTTGGCAATTTTAGATTAAATTTCTGAGACAATATTATTTACAAATGAGACAATGTAAAAATGATTACAAAACATTTATTAACAAAACATCTTTTGATGGAATCCTGCAAAGTCTCAAATGAACTGGGGAGACAGATGAAAATACAAGTCTAAAATAGAAAAGTTCTAAGCAAACAGTTTCTTCTTTTGCACTTCTCGCTTGTGGAACTCTCTTCTGGCTTCTTGCTTTTCAGTCAACTTTGATCTTCAAAAATTAAATGCAATGTCAATCATTATCTACTTTCCTCTTAATTCCTGTTCTTTTATTGTTCTCTCTCCTTAATAATGTTTTTTTTTCCACATATTCTTTCACTTAGTAACCTCTTGTGTCTTAGTGGTTTTATTGTCTTGCTTGGGGTGAAATGATAAAAAATATATATATAAATGTGGTGTTCAGTGAAAAACATTAACAGAAGATGAATGATGTGAAGAAAAATGATTTAAAAGCAATATATGCAATGAGCATACACAATGTTATAGAAATAAGGCTCTTTTATACAAGTCTTTTCTGGAATCTAGTCTCTTGGTTAAAAATCACACAATATTGAAATACAGTTCAAGGAAATTTGGCAAACAAACGCATGGCGACTTTTGCAATAAAGTCCGAACGCCTTATTATGAACTAATATTTGCGCCTTCTTTTTGAGTTTAACACCCATCACGACTAACGAGCAAGGGCACCCATAGAATGTGTCGATGGACAATTTAGGCTATTTTGTAACTTGCAGAAAAGACACCAAAGTTCTTGCGATCTTCTTGTAGTCCTTTTTCAAAATTTTATACATATTTTTAAACATGTGCAGCTACAACACACACATGCAGTTAATTTTAACCAAAATGTTATCGCAGTTTGTTGTTCTCTAGATCAGAACAATCATCGTATTTGGGAAGGCCATTTCTACCTCTTTCCGTCTCAGTGATATGGTCTCGTAGCGCTTCCTCAGTGGTGCTCTCTTCGACGTCTGGTGAGCTCATCAGAGGATAGGTTCATCTTTCTTACCTCTGAGTGTGCTCTTCCTGTGATTTTTATATATACCATCGGGCTTCATCAGAAGAAGAACTAACATGGTTTTTGGCAGAATAATCCTTCCCGCCGCTTTGACGACATCTTTATGTGGTGCTGTATTCCATCAACAGAGACAAGATAAGGACTATTAATTTATCAGTGCCATTCCTTGTTGAACTTTATCATTGCACCTTCCATGCAGATTTTTCACCCAGACAATCTCTCTACCCTATAAGGATTGGCAACTGTGTTGTCACATACCAATAAGCATTGATACCCTTTAATGCGGACCCTGTAGGTGTAGGGTTGCATTGGAAAGAATTAGTTGAAGCTGTTTTATTGTCCTTTGGGGTAACATTGTGCCAATATACACTTCAAAAGAACACAAAGGGCCTGTTCAAGATGGTGTTTGCATAAATAAAGTACGATGGGATCTCTCAACTATCCCATTCCTAATGGTACATGCATATGGAGAGTTGAAATCGTGGATTTGTACATTCCACATCTACACACAAACACGGCAAACCTCTCTCCACAAAACACTGCACCATTATCCTATGGTGTTATCAATTGGCAGCCCTCTTTCACAAAACACTACTTCAGAACTCCTTAATGATGCTACAGAGTCTTGGCAGTGGAAAGGGCTTCAGAAACAAAAAACAAGAGGTAGCAGTCTATGGTGTCAGGTATATGGTTTGTTTGAATTCATGTAGGTTACATCCATCAAGACCCTGTGCCAATTTTCCGACATGTGACCTTTCAAATGGTTTAATCAAACAGGGGCGGGTACTGATTGACTGGCATTCAGTGCAAATATGAAACCTATCGTCACCTCAGCTTTTGTTACTTTCTCGAGAAGGGTGATTAGTGTTCTCTTCACACCTAGGATGTCCGCTGGATTGAAAAATATGTAAAATGAAAACATAATGCTCTTCAGCCAGGTTAAGAAGAGCATAGGTTCTCTGGGTTACTTATTTGGACATTTCATTTAACCATTTGGGGGGCTCTAGTAAGTTGTAGTTAGGGTGAGCATGTTACCGTGTGAAGGAGCACGGTTCACAAGCTCTACATCAATGTCAGCTTTTCCATTTCTAAGTAGAACCTTTCCTGTCTTGGAGTGTGGCTAGCCAACATCTGATTAGCATTCGGAGGCTGCCTTGAATGACACTCTCGTCTGTCCAGACAGTGTCAGCTACCCAAAGTGAGTCTGTCTGTAAATGAATGGTTTTAACTGGAGAATTTAATGGGGTTGACACAAGCTTCCTGGTGATTGCTGGTGTTGAAAGACGGTCGGTGACTGCTTGCATCTTCTGCCAGGAGACATTGTATCCACAACCACACCGTGGCTGGATTGCATCTACCCACTTTGTTATATTTTGCTCACTGATGGTTGACCTTTCACTGGATCATCCAGAAATCTCTTAAAAATGACAGAATCATCTGGCTAGAAAAAGGGTCAACTTCATCGTCCCAGTCAAGTGGTAACAGTGTTTTTGATGCTTCACAAATGCCATGGCGATATATAACCAACTTAAAATTCTAGGAAAATGACCAGTCAACTTCCTTTTTTGGGGTTAAAATAAATTAAAAACAATATTTGAATCGGGCTTTAGCTGAAGTTCACATCCACAACAAAGGTATGTTTTCCTTGCTCTTCCCAGACATACTGATATGGTATTTGTGCCAATTTGTAGTTAAGGTCTTACTTGACAGACCAAACTGGTCCAAATGTTTTTTGACGGGGACCACAGAGCAGTGCTTTCATTAAATTTTCATCAATATAAGCCAATGAGTTCATTTAAATTAGTTATTCTATCTCGGCCCTGGCTCAAAGGGTTCTATTAACAATTTTAGCAAATGATTAAATTGGCTAACTATGAGCCCAAAAAATATTCAGGTTTTTTTTTACCTTTGTCCTTAATCTCCACTGTTTGGAATGGCCAAAGGGGACCTGTCGACGTGTACCTGCAATTTTAGGCCCAGCGCGCTGGTCCAGACACTGCAGCATTTGGTCCTTCCCGATAGTCTATAATGGGCTGAACCTTCTGTTTAGTTTTTCCTGCAGAATGGCTATGAGGGGGATTAAACCCTTTGGGGGTCCGAGTTCCTCCTCTGGGTAAGGAAGCAGCCAGCCGTTATCTATCCAAATCTGGACTTCCTGATCATACTCCTCCCAAATTTGTGCAGGAGCTGGATATTCTGCCAGTCTATTTCTTAACGTACCCGGAGGTTGGTTGCCAGCTCATTTCCAAGATGCGGTCCACCTCGAGTGGTCTCATCAAATTCTACTTTAAAGTTGGGCTCGGTAATGGTGATGGCAGCAACGACTGGTTTGACATTAATTGCGGAAAGAAACTTCACTTCACCGGTGCCAGTTACAGATATTCCTCCCAACTGTTTGATGGCATCTAGTCCAGGAAGTCAAATCCATGCAGGTCTCCGTCCACGACTAGGGTTTCCATAGTGATGGACGGCTTTGCACCAACACTAATTTGTACCCACCGATTCCACAGCAGTCCGGGCGCGTCTCTGTCTACTGTAAGCACGCGTGTTGATTTTCTTGTCCATGCTCGACAGCATGACTTGTGGACTAGTGACTGTGTGCATCCTGTATCCACCAGAACTATACATGGTATTCCATTGATACAAACTGTCACTACAGGCAATGCGCCATTTACAAAGTTTTTTGGGAGGAGATTGGCCCTGAATGGAGAACCCTTGCCCATTCCCGGACAACACCGAGCAATGTGCCCTTGTTGATGACATTGATCAAAAGTGATGGTCCGTCGGTGCTTTACCAGCACCTTTGGATGGTTCACGACCCAGGAGACAATCGTTCGCCCTATGATTGGGTCCATCACATTTATAGCACCTTGTGTACACATTTGTTTCAACTGTGCAGCCACTGTGGCCTGCTCCATAGAACCAGTGGACTTCTTCAAAATAGCATGAGCTCGTGCCAACACACATGACAAATCCAGGTCTTCCATCCAGGATGACGCTCTTAAAAGCTCCTCTGCATGCTCAGGCAATCCAACAACAAATGCACACTGCAAACACTTTTCTGATACACCCAAACAGAACGTGAAACAGTTCTGTCAAAAAAACGTCGACCATCTCCCCTGGCTGAAGGCGGCGTGCTGCAAACGAGGAGAAGGGATCTAAGGCGAAAGCCATGTATAACGCTTTCTTAATGCAATTGAAGTGCTCGCGCGCTTCTCCTCACTCAATTGCTGGTACACAGCATATGCGCCACCTGCCAAACACACATCGGGATAACACTCAATTTGCTTCACATGCTCAACTGACATATTAGTTCCGCCTTCTCCAACCATTCCACTACCGACTGTCCAGAATTGCTTCGTCGAACAGTTGTATCAGCTTCAGGTCGAAGGCCATAATGCCGAAAAAACTTGTGCAAGAAAATGGGGGGTGGCGGAGACAACTTCGGGAACAAAAAAAGAAACAGCCTACTTGTGACAAAAACGAACGCCTTCTTTTGAACCTGAAACAAACGCCTTCTCTTCGAGATAAAAATGAATGCAAAAATTGCAAAACCTAACCCATCAGACTGCTGCCGAAATGAATAAATTCAACTTTTTGTCGCCCAGAAATAACACCAAAACGACTCAACGTCTTCTTGTAGTCCTCGGGAAATGAGTCCATTATGGTACCTTTTTTTGTGCCTGGCGACAACACACACACGTAGTTCGGGGGAGGAAACGTGCATGCTGGTTATATTTTTTTACCTCAGATGAGGTGACACAGTGTGCTGTAACTGTGGTTGTTCTTTTTTCAATACATAACTGCAGCTTTTATAAGGAATGCATAAACATAGTTATCAGTGGAATACTATGGACACCCACATAGAAGGGGAAGGAAGAGGTAGTTTTATCTCAAGTATTTCAGTTTGATAGACCATTGGACAAGTCCTTTTTGAAGTTTCTTGTTCTAAGCAGCATCCACTTTAACCAAAGTGTAAGGGAGAAATAAAAGGGTGGATGAATGATTTTTTCAGATCAAGTGTGCAGCAAAGTTGGAAATTGGTTATATCTGGGTGCTGGTCCACTCTTAGCAGGAGACAGACATGTTTGTATCACAGTTCTGAAGCCGCCATTGCGTATTGCCATCCAGCACATGTGTGAGGAATTGGTATGAGGAAGAGTTGACATAACAGAAGTTGTCCCAAGTACCAACTACCTACCCATCTGGATAAGCTGGTTAAGATCTGAACACATCTACATATAATATGAGAAACAGGGTTCCTGTTCTTATTTCTTGATATGGCATTGTCTTCTGAGCCCTTCCCTGCCTTTCAGTATACATCCTTCCCCAATCTATGGGTTAAATAACTGAGTAGACTAGTGTGACAATAAATATTTGCACTTACTGGAGTCGAAGTGTCCAAGATGCTTATCAGACTGCTGTTTTATGATGGATATGTGCATAAACCCAAGCTAGACAGATTGTCATATCGTCAACTGCATCCTTTCGTCTCGTAAGTATGGTCCGAGAAAAGTACATTCTCCGACATTTGTTGATTTTATGCTGCTTGGCACAATTTGTCTAGTGGCAGTCTGCATGCTGATTGGTCGAGCTGGGGACTCCGATTGAGAACGAGGCTAACAGTGATGATTGGTGTGTTGGCCATGTTTTTGGTCAATAAAAATGGTCTGGGACATTGGCTGGCAGTGCGACTGGGACTGTGGTTACATGCACTGCTATAGAGGTTCGTATTAAGTTACTACTCTGTTTATTTTTGTCTAGGAGCTGGATGCTAGCTTCAAACCTACTGCTACTAGAGTGCGCGGTGTAATTACCGGTGTCTACCAAAACATGGGAAGAACACCCTGAACTTCAACAACTTAGCATTGGATGGCAGTAAGTTTCACTGTCTTTTTGTACGATAATTCACAAATAACAAAGAAAAGAAATTGGTGAGGAGTCAAAATCGCCTACATCCTGAAGGAACATGGCACTAAAGATAAGAAAATGATCAATTGTAGTGCAGCTATTAGTAAAATCAATGTTTTGGAATTTTTTTTTTCTTTTTTTTTTTTTTATAACTAAAACACAAGGGTTACAGGGTGTGGAGGAATTAGGAACAGAAACATTGGAAATGAGTAGAAAAAGAAAAGAGTAATCAGGACAGTAAATAGTGATTGACATTGCATTTAAATTTAAAGTGACTGAAGCTGAGCTCCCAGATCAGGACCAATATTATTGCTGATTCTTCTTTGAATCTTATCAAGGAGCTCCAAATAAATAACAGTAGCACCAAACCCTATATGGCAGCAATATTCCAAGGATGATACATATGCAAGGTAGATTCTGGAGGGAAAAATTCTTGAATGACACGGTGAACCAACTTTTCTTAGCAGCTGATTTAGCAATGGATTCAATATAGTCTTTCCATGTCATGTCAGCTGAGATTTCATGTAGAATTATTAAATTTGATGAAAATTATTTTTCTCTGTGGTTTAAAAAAAAAAAAAAAATGCTGACCAATGTTATTAAAATAGTGTCTTTTATTAAATTAATTTTCTTTCAGCTCATTATTTCATTTAGTACTTTTAATTGTTTAAGTTTATTTTAAATTTATTCCCTTTCATTTATTTATATTTTTAAATCCAGGTTTCCCATGCTGGATCAAGTCATAACAACCAACCTGAAATCCACAAAGTCTCAGATGTAATCCTTTGGCTCCTCAAAACTTATGGTCATTCCAGAAAAAGTTTTGAAGAATCACGCCTTACCCGTATACATTTTCATTCTCTCACTTACCATATTGTTGGCACTTTACCTGAGGCTTGGACTAACAGTGAATCTGCTGTTGCTGCTGGTACAGAAGTAGCTGGTCGCCAGGCATGCAACATCGAACAACTTGAGTCGGATAAAGTGGAATTAAAAATACCAAAAACATTCAAATTACATTCCAATGATGACAAATTACGTGAGATTGACGAGAAGCGACCAGTAATCTCCTGGGATATGGAGGGCTATCATTTTGTATTCAGTCCTGTCCTTGTATGCCGACATCCAATCAAAACTGTTGGGCTTGGAGATGCTATTTCATCTACAGGCTTAATGTATTCTCAGTTTCTCACTAAATATCGGCTGTGAAATTTGTTTCCATGCCTTTTAAATACTATGATTACGTTTTTTTATAAACATTAAAATTTTTCATTAACTTTCAACTGAACAATATATTTTTCATTTTTAGTTTAGCACAATGATTTGATATTTGAGACATTGTTAATAAGGAGAGAATATTGTCTTGATTGCCATAATATTTTCAAGTCTTTAGAATTTTTTTTTTTTTTTTGTATTTTTTTTTCAGCAATTTTCACAATTTTGAAAAGTGTGTGTGTATATATGTATATGTGTGTAAACATGTATATGTGTGTAAACATGTATGTATATAAATATGTATATATATCTATATATATGTATATATATATATATATATATGTGTATGTATATATATATATATATATATATATATGTATAAATATATATGTGTATATATATATATATATATATATATATATATATATATATATATATATATATATATATATATATATATATATATATATATATATATATATAATTCAAATATATATATATAATATATATAAATATATATGTGTATAGGTATATATATATATATATATTTATATTTTATATATATATATATATGTATAGGTATATATATATATATTTTATAATATATCATAAAATTTTTATATATATATAAAAGACATATATATATGGCATTGAATACATATATATAAATATACAATGAATTAAATAAATAATTTGAAAACATATAAAAAAACTAAACTAAATATAAATTCTGAAGGATATGTATAAAATTACATATAAAACATATTTATATATATACATATTTTTCTTGGGAATAATATTGGTATATTATGATAAAGAATAATATATGGCTAATTTTTATATATATATAAAATAAATATATATAAATATAAATTTAGGAGAGGTATGCACATAATAGGGATTTTAAATAGATTAAAGAATTATTTTTATTTCCAAATGTAAAAACATAAATGTTTCTTTTAAATATAATATAGAATTAATATTTCTTTGTTTATTTTATTTTTTTATGTTCAATTTACAAATACAGAATCTAACTAGACTTATGTAAGTGAATATAATAACTAAATATATATATATATTTTAAATATAAATTGCAATGAAATATAATTATGCCTTGGGATATATAAAAATCCATTTTTATAAATTCTTCACCAATGAATATATACTTTATAATAGATGTTTTTTAGTATTTTATATATTGTGTGTTAGAAAAGAGTTTTGAATTTAAAATTAAAAGAAGTTATTTGATGGTTTTATGATTAATTTAAATCAACAAAAATTAATATCAAAAATAAAAAACAATGTTGTATTTAATATTATTAAAAAAATTATTGGTGTGGAGAAAGTAAATGATTCCAAGAAGTAAAATATTAAGCATTTATATAAAAAAATAAAAAAAAAAAGAAAATGAAATATTGATGTTTTTAACGATAAAAATTTGCAGTTCCCAAAATATAGTAAATTTAAATGAAATGAAATTGAAGATGATAATTTTAGAATTTTTTTTAAATGTCAAATATATTAAATTAAAGGGAAATATAAAAATTTGATTTTATTTATTAAATTAAATTTTTTGAATAATTTTTTTTGAAAAGTAAGTAACGTTTTTGTTTATTCAATAAAAAATAGAAAATCCAATGGAATTCATGTTATAAATGGAACTTTTTATCAATTTTTTAAAGGAACGGCTTAAGTTCAATTTTTTTAAGGAATTTCACATAACTATTTATATAAAATATCTTGAAATTTAATCTCATAAATTTTTTTAAATAAAAAAGGAAAATTGAAAAAAAATATTTTGAAAATGAAAAAAAAAATGCGATGTTTTTTCAACAAAAGTTTTTTTTTTTTAAAAAACCTTTTAATTCTCTCAACAAATAAAGATCCTTGGGATCAAAATTTATACAATAAAAATATTATATATAAAAAAATTTTTTTAGAGAAATTTTATTTATCTATTTAGATTAAATCCATCTTCTTAAAAGGATACAGAATGAAAATAACATGTTATTATCCGTCCAAAGTCCATCTCAATGAAAAAAGTTTAGATGTTTAAAAACAAATAGATTAACTTCAAAAGCGGAAATATGAAATGTAAAATTTTTGATAAAAAACATATTTATTTTATGTACTGTGTTTATAAGGCAAATTTTTAAAAAATTTAAATAAAATGTTATTCAAGAATAAATAAAAAATAAAAAAAATATAAAAATTGGAAATAGTTAATGAATTTGTTTATATATAAAATAAATATATATTTAAAATATAAATTTTTTATTTTCCTTTTGTTAAGATTAAATTTGAAAATCTATATAAAAAATGAATTTTCTAATCCTTGAAAGAAAAAAAAATAGAATTTTGAATATAAATTTTCATCTTAAAGTTAAAATGAAAGAATGAAGACTAACCTTTAATGAAAAAAATGAACGAAAGCATCCATTTTTTTTAATACATCTTAAAGAATATAGTTAAAATGAAAAACTAACCGAATATTTTATAAATGCATAGGTTAACACGTTCAAATGATAATATGTTAAATTTAAAAATAAACATTCGAAAAATTGATAAATATTATATAATCATTTCTTATATATAAATAATACGTTAAAAAATTTAGAAAAAAAAATTTCGATAAAAAAATTAAATTTTAAATTGGGATTTCGGTGGAATGTAATAATTTAAATAAATATGGAATATGGAAAAATATTATATATCGTGATATTTTAAGAGTAAAAAATAAATTTAACGGTTAACCAAAGACTTAAAAAAAACAATAATGAACAAAAATTTACCTAAAGTTCTTAAAATATTAGGAACAAACTACTAAAATTAAATGAACTTTGTTTTTTTTAAAGAAAACTAAAAAAAACAAAATCAATATTTGGATATAATAAAAATTATAAAATATTTAAATGTTAAATATTCAATTCCAAAAAATAGAAAATATAAAAAAATATAAATTAAATAGGATAATATTTATATACATTTATTTGTAATGTATTCTTTTATTAAAATTTATGTTGATATTTAAAATATATAAAGCTCAAAAGAAAAGATATTCTTTAACGCGTGTTTTTTGGAAATTGAGGAGATTTTAAATAAATAAATTATTTAAATCACATATATTTTATATTATTGACCATTTATAAAAAAAAATTTTAAATTATTACATATATATATATTAAAATTATTATATATATATAATAAATTATATATCAGATATTCATTATTAAATACGTTGTCAGGATGAAATTTGGAGAATTAAACATTAAAAATTTTTTATTATGATATATAATATATTTTAAATGTTTTTTTATGTTTAATAAATGCCGTTTTGATTTATTTTAAATATCATTTACAATTTATTTTTAAATGAAAAGATATATATATATATTTAATATATTTAGTAATATATATATAAATAGATATATATATATTAAAATGTCCATTGTATATAAATGGAAGATTTTATCTTTTGGATATAGGCAACAGAATCATAATATATGCATGAATAAAAATATAAATTATAAAAAAATAAATTCCATATATATATAAATTTTATATATATAATTTTGAATATATTTATATATATAAAAGAATAAAACTTGTTGGAAACTTTTAAGATTCTAAAAATGAATAATATTATAAATAAAAAATTATATATGGGGAATTTATATATTTGATAATTGAATATTTATTTTAAAAAAAATATATGGGACATAAAGACAGGATAACAAATTTAAAAAAAAATTTCTATTTACTTCGATGAACAAAAAATCAAATTTAGCAGACGTCAACTAATAAATAAAAATTTTACTGATTTTAAAAAATTATAAATATATATGGATTAATATATAGTTATTATATCGATATTTTCCAATCGACACATTTTTATTAAATACCCAAAACTCCACCGAATTTCAAATTAATTTCTTCGTAGATTATTTTTAAAATTTAGATATTTATCAAACCTTAACCTCCCAAATATGCACGTTAAAGTAACGTGAATTGACAGCGTCTAAGAATTTGAATGAAACCTGTCGTATAATTTATTGGGGTTGTTATAAATTTCTTCTTTAATGTAGTTTTAAATCACCCTTAACCACCTTTATCTAGAGACGAGACGCGTTAAATTTGAGCAACATCCAGCCGACACACTGGGGTTAAAATAGGAAACTAAAATGACACACTCATATCCTCTCTCCCACCTCACTTCCTCACTTCGTTAATTTTGCGTATACTTGATGAGGTCCGTAAAAAACGTGTGAATTTCTTTTCATTTTTCATTTCAGCTTTTGGAAGTAAAGTCTGATGATCCAGAACCCTGTGAAATAGCTTATTACATGGAATCTTAACGTGGTCTGTCTTTTATTCAAACATATCTGCTCTGAATTTTACATTGAGCTCTCTGGATATCATCCTCCTCAGGTCTACCCATACGGATTACCTATATTTGCAAAAAACTATATTATATATATATATATATATATATATATATAAATATATATTATATATATATATATTATCAGATTATTATGAAATTAATGTTCTGCATGTTTAAAACAGATGTATTCTTAAACAAACTGATTTTTATAAAAGTACAGGTTTTATAATTGTTATATAATAATAAAATTTATATAAATATATATATATATATTTATAAATATATATCATATGTTTATTACTACACTTAAGTATTTTTGGGATAACATAGAAATTTGTAACTTAAAACCAAATAATAAATACAAAATGTTTATTTTTAAAATGAATTTTATATATCTATATATATATTATATATATATATATATATATATATATTTAATCTATTGAGAGAAAATAATATATGTTTATATTTGAAATGATATATATGTGTATGATATATATTTAGAATTATAGCATATAGAATTGTTTTTGCTCAATATTTTATATATAAAAAATATATGTGTTTATGTATATATGATATATTTTTATATATATATATATATATAGAAATA